GATTCACATTCAAAAAAATTCTAGAAAGAGCGTTTATAAGATCAGTACCAACTCCAACATACAAAGCTGCAGCAAGAAATCTAAACAGAAGTGTTTAATCATGACATTATAAAACGCTGACTTAACTTTACAAATAGAGTAGTAACAGCAGTGAAAATATACTTGCTGTTGCTCTGTATTTTACTGTTTGATTTTACAAAAAACGTCCATCCTTTCTCCAAATGCAGGCAAGCTTCCCCTGTAGTCTCTCTCAGAGAGTGGAGCAGAAGATAAAGGGTTTTGTGTGTTTGTTTGTTCTTATTCTCATCTCAGCAGTACCCAGGCTGTTTTATGTAACAAAATGATGAGATGACTAGTGTTCAGCTTAAAATAAAAGGCATTATGAACTTCTTTCCCCTTTCTAATTCGGAAACTGCTGAATCCACCAGCTCTGGTATCTTCATCTACGATCCAATCCACACACTTTAGATGCTTGCTATTATATTTAGTGATGGTTATGTGTAAAATACAGAAAGTCCTGGGAACAAAAACTCCCCTTTTTAGCTAAAGCTGCTAACATTTAGGCTACTGAATAAAAATTTTGCAGTCCCTCTCCAGCCTAATGAATTTTAGTCTTTTTTTGTATATGTGAAGCAGTACATATTCAGCAGAAAGGCTGTTTTATCTATCCCAACTAACCCAACAGCAAGGAGATTAAGGAACTCTCACAGGAGATGAGAACTGTGGGTTTAAATTCCTTGTGGCACTGGAAGAACTAAACATTCTGATGAAGATGCACCACCTTTCAGCAGCAGTGAGAGCAGAGAAAGGGCCTGATAAAGCTGAGGGAAAATTCCGATTTTTCTAGTGCTCCTAATCAAGCAAGAAAAAGTACCTGAGAAACACCCACCCTGGTCAGTGAAGGCAATCATCACCATTACAATTAGAAATTGTAAAATTGAATGGGACCTGGGTAGAAGTCTACAGTCAACACTGTCAAGCTTCTACTAAGGTTCAGCTTGTGGCCAAGGGCACTGGCTAGAACATCAGTAGTTGCTCTGGTGACAAGAACTTACGAACAATTACCAGTACTAATGCTGAAACATAAAACTATTGCCTCCTCAAAAAATCACCTTGCCAGAGCTGGAGTCAACAGGACAGCCACAAAGATACCTGTAGCAGTGAGCTGCAGGGTCACTGATGTAGGGAAGGAAGAGCTGTTAGTTTGCTAACCAGGTGGGGCAGCTCAGTAGTTAAACTAATGCTTTTGAACGTTCCTCTTCTGTTGGCACTCAAAAATCAAAAGAAAGTCTTTCACATTACTGCTGGACAATCTGATGTAAATATTATATGCATCACCTACAACTTTGGAAAGTATCTAATGTAGAGGCTTTGAAACAATAGGTGTATTTACCATAGGTCCCAAGTAGCAAAGACAGCAACTTTGTGCAGTCATCTCATCTCACTGTGGGGAAACAGCTCTGCCTCTACTGGCGTTTTCCCAAATTTTCTAACAGTGACTAGGATTTTGTACTCTCGAATATTGGACTGAACAAATTCAGTCAATGTTATTCTGCTATTCTGTCACTTTGATTGAGTGATACTAGCTCAGTCTGAGTTCAGATTACGGGCTAGCTAGTCTTTTTTTTCCCCCCCAGCTAGTAGTTACCCATTCACCCTCTATTTGTACAAGACTCTGTGTAGGATAGAATGCAGAATTAGTACTTACACTGACTAAGAGAGAAAACTCAGTCACCAACTGGTTGAGCTCTATCAAGTCCTACAAATAAGAAACAAATGTTATTTTGTAATATTTGCTAAAAATGAGCATCAATGTGGCAGTAAGGGAGTTTCAACATACCTCTTCTAAAGTTTCCCAGGACTCAGCTGCATTTTCTTCCTGAGGTATTTTAGGAAGGCAGGAGATCTGGATTAAACTTTGGGTGTCATCCTTCACTTCTGCGTTATATAAAGTTTCTGAATGAGAAACATAAATGCACTGGATCAGAATACAGGTGATATGCCAAGCTTCTCACTCTCAATGTTTCTCAAGGATAAGCACTAGACAGTTTCTTAACAGGATGTTAATGCCAAAGAAAGGGATTCATTTCTGTCAGTGCCCTTTCACAATCAATTCTGAGTATTATATCAAGTTATACTTCTGAATTCAAGGTCAGGTAATTAATTGTATATCAACCAAGCTAAGAAAACTTGGGGCAAAATTTTTTTATTTACATACAGTACATAAAAGCACTGCACTTCCAAAACTGAACAGACAGTTACTCATTTTATGATTGATTATTATGCTACCAGTTTGATTTTTAGCCATTTGGGACTAGAAGAACCCAGAGGAAAAAGCTTTCAAAGTAAAAGCAAGTAACATGCTGCCCAGCATTCAGTGCTAGATCCAGCTGGGTGACAGTACTGTGAGGATGACAAACAGTTGAAGCTCAGTGGCATACAGGAGATATTGTCAGGTATCTTCCTTTCTAAATCACCTGGACTGAATGCAGAAAGCATTAGAACAAAATACAGTGCAAAAAAAGGGGAATTAGAGAGAGCTAGGTGGCATGGGGGAGAGCAGATGCAAGAAACACACACGCACACACACACACACGCCCCTCCTCCAGGCAAAGAGCCCAGCCTTGAGCCACTGTGGATATAATGGACGTGCAGAATTATGGACATGGAACTAAGTGGTAATAAGGAATAATAACAAATAAGTTCGGCTTGTCATAGCAAGGATTAAGGAACAGCTTGAGGGTATGAAATGCCAATAGGAGAATGTGTGTATGTAAACACAGTGCAAAGATCATGTTAATTTAGCAACTTCATTTCTGAAGGAAGATAGCTTCTTTGGTAGGACACTGATGTTTCCTTCCTTGGGAGGGCAGTATAAAGAGAAAGCTTAATATGGGGAAGACTGGTTAGATATGTCTTAATAATATTAAAGTGTAAATATTGCATTAAAATCTTCTTTAGAAACAATGAATGTGCCAAGGTACTATAATAATATTATATAACTGTTACTACAACAGATTTTGAACAATGGAAAACAAATAAAAATAATAATAGTCATTAAAAATCAGTAATAGTGCATGCTTGTTCATGGAATTAATTTAAGATAAAATAAAAATTATACATTTTCATAACATTTGTCCATTTCTCAACGTGTTTATCCCAGTATCTCAATATACAGTAAGGACCTAATCTTCCTACTCTCAGATCAATAGAAGTCTAATATCAATGAAGCTGATATTCACCCATAATTACTAAGTAAACAGAGTAACAAGGATGGAGTAAGTGATTTGGGGTTTTATTTTGGGCTTGTTTTTCTTTCTAATTATTTCTACCCCTTTTCCTTTAAGAATCCAGACATGGAAGGCATTTCACCTTCTACGATCATCACCTGTTCTTCCAGAACATATTTTTGATCTATGACATCAGATTAATTAATGCTGTTTACACAGTTCTAAAACATGCCTTTTCCCTTTTCAGTGTAATTGATCATTTATCCAAATGTGTCCATCTCTGGAGGAACCAATTTTGCTACATATTCTGACATTTAACATTGGTTTTGAGTATTTTATTCCATTTCAATCCTTCACAATCCTCTTTCCAAAATCAAGCTTCTTTAACCAAGAAAAGTGTACTCTTCCCAAATCAGCCACGTGCACGCTAAGTTGGTTGAAATTAAAGTAGTCATAATTCAAAAGCAGAAAAAAAGCTCACTAAGCAAAATTGCACAATTCCTCACAAATTGTGTTCCCTACTCTGGTCTGTCCTTAACAATCTATGCTGACCTATTGTAGAAAAGCACATCCTTCAAAGAACATAAATTATACTGAAGTTTTGCATGACACACATTCAAGTGAACTTAAAATTGTAAGTAGGTTTACACTGTTATCATTTTCTAATAACTAAAAATTAGGGGGAAAAAATTCCTCACTTCAAAAACCTAAGGTGAAGAACAAGAAGGGTAAGAGAAGGTGAAGTCACATTTGGGCTGAAAGTATGAGTAAGAAATTTCTACACACTAGTTCAGGTTTTATCAAGTCTAGCCAATTTTAATAGAAGTGAGAATGGAAGTGGCTCCACCAGTTCACTTACAGCATCTCCACAGAAATGCAGTGACACAAAACACCTCTGCAGATTTCACAGAGCAGCTTCACACCTCATTACACTCAAAATAAAAATCTAATGCTCTGGGAAATTCAATATGTTGCTTAAAAGATTTTAGTAGTTTTAAGAGTGGAGTCTCACCTTTTGTTAATATTTGTTTAAAATGCAATTAAATTCCATTTCTATTGGACCTGAGCTGAAGATGAAGGGGGGAAAGGACCACATCATTTCACTGCCATGCCTTATAAATGGGCGATTTGAATTTGTAAACTCCTTCCTTCTCCACCAGATGGGAAGCAACATGCTACAAAGAATAGGCACACTGAAGCTCCTTTGATTAAGATCAGCAGCCACTATTTGCTTTCAGGACTGCAGCCTCTAAGCACAAAAGAATAGGCAATATATTGTACCTGTGTTAGCAATTCAACAGAGCTGCTTTCACAGTCAGGCAAACTTGAAAAAAGATATCTGTTTAATTGTATTTAGTTGTCTGCCTGCCTGTGTGTTTCACTTTAAATGGGGTGAATTATTGCCATATTCTTGAGGGGACTTGCAAGAACATGTCCCTCCAGTAATACTTCTCTGTTTTTCTCATCCCAATCTTTCTGATTAATTTCTTGTCTTTCTAAAGAGCAGTTATGCTCAATGTCCTCCATACTTTAAAGGTATTTCAGATTTAAAAAGCAGTCCTGTTCTTTGAAATTAAACTCTAATTCCCATTTACTACCTATGTAACTGTAGAAAAGCAATAAGCCAGGACAAGGCCTTTCCAATGAGATACCAAAACATATTGAGTACCACTGCAGAAAGTTACCAAGAGAAGAGATAATTGAAATTTAATTTGGATTGTAACAGAAGAGCTCACAAAGAGCCTGAAAGTAATGGCTAATATGAATGAGGGGGATCACTGAATACCACTATTCTAAAACTCAGAGTAAAAGACTAAAGACGATGAGCTCCTTCCAAGAGATATCAACAAATTCAGCTAGCTGATTAATCAAAACTATTGGAAAGAAGTTCCTAAAGGACAAAGGACTGCAGAAGAGCTGGCAGACACTAATAAAATAGGCTATACTGAAGATAACAGCAAATTGTCCTGATGCAGAGGAAAATGTTTATGGCTTCAGCAAGAGTTCTTCAATACCTTGGATATCAAGAATTTGACACACAATTAAGATGAGTATAGGGAATAATATAAGCATGGAAAGTTAATATCAGAAAAACTAGGACACAAATAAATTGCAACTAACAAGGGGCATAAATGGTAGCAGGAAAGTTTCTGTGAATGCTTTTGAAGTTAGAGGAAGACAGAGGAAGTGTAAGTAGGTGCATTTCCAGGTAAAGAAAGTAACAGATGACCCAGAGAAAGATTAAGTCAGTCTTTATAAGAACAGGTAGCTGTAATCAAGTATTTGATGCAATTCATTTAAACGAGAAAGAAAAAAAAGGATACACTGAAATATCAAGAGAACAGGTTAAAATATTTAGATGAGCTAGTTCTATTCAAGTCCTGAGGGTTTGACAAAATTCACTCTACGGCATTTAAGAAACAGCCTCTGAAAGTTCAAGCATATTTCTGAGAAGTTGAGTAAGGGTCCCAGAGGATTGCAAGAGAACAGATTCCATTATGATCTTCCTTTTTTTGGTGGGGAAGGAGAATGCAGCAAAGAGACAGACTTTGAAACCCACAAAGATATTATGACAAACTACTGAACAATCAACGACAAAATGTTGAAGGTGTTGAAGAAGTCAAGATTCATACATCAGAAGCCAATTCAGTCTTTTTTATAGGCCTGGTAAGAAGATAGAAATTTTTTATGATGAGGGTAGTGAGACAATGGAACAGGCTGGTCAGAGAAGTTGTGGATGCCCCATCACTTGAAGTGTTCAATGCCAAGTTGGATGGGGTTTTGAGCAACCTGATCTAGTGAAAGATGTCCCTGCCCACTGCAGGGGAATTGGACTATGTGATCTTCAAGGGTCCCTTCCCATCCAAACCATTTTAGGGTTCTGTATTTTATATATCTTGTCGTTCATAAGGCTTTCTGATACTACTGCACATGATATGCTCAAAAGCAAGCCCAGTCTTCAAATCTGCTTTTCTCCCTGTTCGACCATTAGACTTGCCAGCTTGTTAATCACAATTGAAAGAGTTCCTGTAGTTCTCTATAGAGCAATAAGAAGGGTCATGAAATTAAATTTGACGGCAGGTTCTTCTACAATGCCATTGACTGAGAATACTTTTTCAATTTTAAAAGACATATGAAATTTTCAAACAATTTTAAACAACACTGCTACTGCAGCAATCAAAGTAATTACTGTTATGTGGAAGGATCTGATCCTGATGTAACCAGCTTTCTCACAGACCATTAGCAGAGAACACTAGCTGGTACCAGGGCATAATAAGGACTTCCCCTGAAGACAGAATGCGAAAACAAGGAATGAAAGACATTTTGTACAGAAAGGAATGAAAAACAGCAAACATGTCTGACTTATAGCATGTTAGAGTGTGTTTTCAAAATAGTTTCTTTAAATGCAAATATACAGATTTCTGCTTTCTTGTCAGTAACCAAGATAAAATGCTGGTCATGAGAAAAGTGTGGTGTGGGGAAAGAAATCCACTTCTCAATTAACAATTGGTATTCAACTGAAATCTCATTTATATCTGTTCAGAGAAATTATGATTGGATACAAAGATACAGATATACAAAAATGAAATTCTACTACCTCCTCCTACAGTTGCAGATCTCGTTAAAGAGGCATCCTCTTGTCCTTCGAGTTGCCTTTTAAGTTCTTCTGCAGATTCAGAATGGAGCTGCAGGAAGTCTTTTATGGCAAATGAAGCCTCCTCTTTAACTGGATTTATCATTCTCTGCAGAACTGGGATGTCTTCCTGTCGGACTCGCAAACAGAGTTTCTCCATCTCTCTCATATTGGCACGGAGTTGCTGTAACAGTTTTAAGAGTTATTTTGTAGCTTACTATGTAAGAGCACCAGGCACCTTCAGTGGTTGGAAAGCAACTACCATCTTGGTTATCTTTAAGTAATCATAAAAAGTGACATTTCTAAGTTTTAATAAACTAAAACAAACAAACAAACAAACAAAAAAAAACCTCTAAAGTCATAGGTTTCAAAGAATCCCTATGTTCCTCTTCTCTCCATTCATTTTCTTTTCCAGACTGAGCTGACTGCAGCTGGTTCATCTCTCAAAGACACCCCCAATTGCTGTAAAAGCATGTGCGTCCCACAACACACTGAATCCTTCCTCTGAACCCATCCCGGATCTACCAGACTCTGTTATTTTGTAACCCAGTGCCATTCCCTGGTCTTTTTGTACTGCTCCTGCAGAACAGTCACCCCATAAAAAATACAGCACTCTGCAGAGAAGAGGCTTGTCCTCACTTAAGGTAGTTCAACCTAGAGATGATCTCTTCTAAGCAAATGACCCATCTCCTACTCATCGTATGACATCGGATGACAGTCCTGTAACCAGCAGTGACATTTAGCATGTCTGCAGTTTAGTCACCTCAGCCAGAGCTTAAAGCTGTCCATAGAGTAAGGCATCGGTACTTCCGAGTGCTTCTGACTCAGAGGTGCCGCTCCATCATAACCAGTTCACTAAGTCCACTGTATTTTCAATATTTGCTTGTATTCACTCAGTTCTCTAGCTAGGAAAAAAAAAAATAATGAATGGGGGTGGCAGCTCCCAGCACAGCAGTCCCTAAACAGTGCAGTGAGGAGTCACCTGGACATACTGGTAAGAGTCTTTTGGGACGTGGCCCACTCTCCATAAGTGAAGCTAAGCTATCTGCCCCCAAAGAATAAGAACCAAAGATCAAGGAGGAGACTGTACCCATTATCTTCTCTGGCAAGCTTAATTTATCCATAGTATCAGCCAACCACAAAGCAAGACAGAAATATGTTTTTAAGACATCCCCATCCATATTTTGATTTTCTTGCTTTCAATTTTATACTTTATCCACTTCTCCAAGTAAAGAAGTCCGTTTCTTTTATTTTGGGTTTCAACTGAAGTATTTAACTAATTAATTCACTGTGTAATTACTGCAGTGTCTGTGATCGAGTCAGGTCTTTGCCAAAATATTTACACACGCTGCAACAAGTTAAAATAATATCCAAATAAAATAAGTGATTGCTTCTCAGAACTTTTTTTTATCATAAGCAATTGTGGTGATTATAGCACTTCAGGATACAATCATTCACAACCCCCAACTACCCCAAAACTATCACTATAATTTTGTAAAGACAACTTCAGGGGCAAGGGGGAAGGATTATTTTTTTTTGCAATGTTTATATTCTTTCTTCAGAAGAAGGATTAATATATTTGTTTGATTGGAATTTCAAATATAATAAAACACAGAAACATTTCTTTAGTTAAAAGAGTTCAGAGAAGATATAAACTATCCACAACTAGCAAGAAGACTCTGTGTGCAGGCATCTCCTGTGAGACAAATTTCTGTCTACAGCAAAAATAGAGGGTTTTTTTATTGCCTAGGCTTTTAAAATCTAAACTTGCATACTTTTCTTTTTCTACAAATGACAAGAATTAATTTATAGTTTAAATTATACCACTCATTGTTTTAGGGTAAGAGTTTTTATCTAATTATAAAAAATAAGGCTATAATAAAAATAATACTCATTGCATTACTTTATTAGATTATATTGTTTATTGCACTATTTACTACTTGTTTTGAATATTCTCACAGCAGAACAAGAGGATGGATTAACACCAGTGAGTGGTTAGAAAGGTTTTCTTCAGTAACACAAACCAGGTACAGGTAATGCCTTAGAAAGGCAATATTGCTTACCTGGAAAAGCAGGAACTAGATGGAACTTATTTATATACACTAGTAGAATTAATTTTTTTTAACATACATGAAACTGATAGTATTATTAGAGAAGAAGGAAATTAATTCAACAACAAATTGAAGTAACACTGCAAGAGCCAGATTAGGCTACCAAAGAAAGAACAATTGATTCAATAAATCATTTGTCAAATGTCATTTGTCAAATATTTATTGTATGCTTAAATTAAGAGTACTACTAGCAATTTAGGCTGCGTTATTTAAGGCTAACTCCAGGTAAAAACACTGATTAACAATTAAAAAAAAAAAGAGATATAAAAAATAACTGAGTTGAACGAGAAACATGGTACCCAGCAATTTTCCTCATACATTTCTCATCTTAATCTACCTTGCTCTTCCTGCTCTCTTCCTCCCGTGGTCTGCCCATAAGTAATGAAAAAGGGAGAAGGTCATCACTGCCATTTCAATACCTCTTCTCTTCTGGTTTTGGAGAGGACTCTTGCTCCATTTATTGTCAATTAAACAGAAGTTAAATGGATTCAGCAAGAAAGCTAAGCCCTGTGGCGAGGAGACAAGTGTTAGGGGCTCACTAGGGTGTGACATGACAAATGTTATGGATATGCAAATGACTGTGACTTCTTTTCATAATCATTTTAATGGGACTGGTTTTAATTTCTGGGTAGAGCATAAAAGTATATTACCCTCTTCCCAAGTGTTTCCACTTTTAAAACCAAGCTTACTTAGTGAGGAAGGCGATACAAAATCCGGTTTTCATTTACAGGAACTCCTGAGTTTCGAACTCGCCAAATTCAGCCCAAAAGACACTGAATTTTTCTTTATAATATTTGCAATTTTGGTCTGTTAACTTCCAAAACCAAATAACAGTCTTTGTTTCAAATGGCTTTCTCACAAAAACTGTAGGGAAAAAACTGGTGAAAACCTTGGGAAGTCATCCCTTCAAAGTATGATTCGTTGTGCCTACTTTATTTCTGACAGTTTACCTAATCTGGTCTTAAAAGGACTTCTTTATGAAGACCTACAACCTCCTTGATATTATATTACAAGAATTCATTATCCTAAATAAGGTTCACTGTTGTTCTTGAACAGATGCAGAACTGAGGCAGGGACATAAAAGTTTGAGCCCAATTTTTCTAAATGGTCCATAAATTTGGATAGAAGTCTGGGAGATCCACCAGGATGCTACAGTACATGAATAAATATAATGTATTTTTTTCAGAAATGTAAATGAGAAGTGGCGTGATTTTCACAAGTACTAGATTTTCAAAAAATCTCTTGACTCTGTCAACACATCCAGAATGGAAAGAAACAGAGAAGTCGTACATAATGAAGTTGCACTGCTTTTTGATTCTTTTCAGAATCTTTACAAAGACATTCAATAAAAAATAAAGAATAAATTATAAATTTCTATCAGAAAGTAAAATACAAAAGGACACGAATGAGCCAAAGGACGGCTTCATTTAAACTTTAAAAGAAAATAATTACTGTTGCTGGAAAAGACTACACATCTCTCCACTAAGTTTACCTTATTACTCAGCACACAGTTTGAAATAGGTAAGAAAAAGAAGTACAAATTGTAAGTATTCAGTTTTTAGAATTATCTTTAAAACCACAAATTATCTTTACATATTCTGCTTCTCGTAAGTGGTTTATGAACAGAAGTTCCCTCACAGATGTCTTGGACATGTGAGAAAAGTGATAGACTCCCTAAGGGATTCAAAAGTCTTAATGGCAGTTTTCAGAAAGCTGATAAACCGTATTTACATGAAAGAGTAAAAATTCCTTATTTTTTCCAGTATTTATTTTTCAGAGCAGTATTTTTTCTTCACGAATGGTGACAGCTGAATTTTCAAACTTGATGAAAAATAGATGCTGTGTTTCCATAGGCTTACTGTAGGCTGTCTTAAAATACCATCACTTCATACTCAAATACGTAACACTCAAGAACCTCTCCACCAATGTTATACCAGCAACACCTGTCTCTTGTGTGCAACCAATTTCTTACAAATGAGAAAAAGTAATGGATGGCAAAAAAGAAGGAAATAATAGAATTCCTGTTCAACAACAGGCAAACGCACGCAGCAACCCACTGTACTGTGCCATGGCAGAGAGCTTAGGCTGTGCTGCAACAGCATGCTATTGATAAGGACACACAACACCACAAGGAAAAGTGGCAGTAACAGGAGTAAAGGCGCCTCAGTGCTTCAGTGCTGACCCAAAGTGAGGCCCCCCAGGGAACGAGGATAAACAACAGGTCTGCGTGGATACAGCTCATACAAATGTCAACGGTCTGAGAGGCTGGACAGGGCTTTGAGCAACCTGATCTCCTTGAAGGTTTCCCTGCCCATGCAGGGGTCTGGACTGATGACCTTTAAAGGTCCCTTCCAGCCCAAACCATTCTATGATTCTGTGACCAAAACCTTTGTAAAGGCAGAAAGGACTTGAGCTGTAGAATGATTTCCCTGTAACATGTGATATCTCTACCAGTTATGGAAATACCTGAACGTCTGTCTAAGGGCCCCAGCAACAGCTACCTGAAAATTGCAGGGTAAGCATCCGCTTCAGCCATGCATCCCTGGCAAAACTGATAGTACCGGAGTGCTCAGAAACTCCGGCACTTCACTCATCTGTTCCCATCAGCCTACTGCTCCTAACACTACCAGCTAACTGAATCATGGTGGTCATGCCATTATTACACTCAGTCTCTTTTACACCATCATTCTCTTTTTCTTCTTCTTGGTTGTATTATCATTAAATGTAATGTGATATACATTTTCCGATACTTTAAACTCTTTATGCTGAAATAGTACATGGATGACACAGGATCTGTCATGTCCAATAAAACAGTCCCTTTTTTTCTTTATCTCCTGTCTTCCGAGTGTTAATCACTGCCAACTCTCCCTCCATTCTGCATATTGTTGTTTTAAATTATGAAGTAAATAGCACCTCCAAACAAACCCATCACCTTAAATCCTCTCAAACATAAATATGATTTTTAAGAAAGTATTACAGTAGCTTAGCTGTGTAAATGTAATGTTGCCTTCACTTATCTTCTCCAGACTTTGTTCAAACTAATGTAATAAAGGATATATGTTAAAAATTTCTTGGCATAGCCCAAAGAAATTATGAGCTTAAGGATATATTTACCCTACAGATGGCCACAGGCTGCAACAATGAGCTGATTTTACATGGCCCTTGATACTATAAACAATCTCCTGTGGCAATACGTTAATCTACCCTGCTTCTAATGCTCTCCCAGTATATTTGCGTAAAATCCCAGAAAGATACTTAATTTGAAGACTGCATAATTTTAAAAATGGTACAGAAAACATGAGCCATATAACTGAGCTTTGAAGATCTATGCAAAAGAGAACTGACTGAAAACCCACCTCTTACTTGTAAACCATTTTCAGTTGAAATGAAAATCATAAAAGTGAAAAAGAAAAAAAATAGATTAACATTTTTCAAGTAGCCTTCCCAGTCAGAGCAACACAGTGGAGAGATTACGTCTGCCTAGGTACGTTTAGCAGAACAGAGACTCCTTTTGTGGGCTGAATATAGACTAAAGCCGGATAATTCATCAACAGTATTTTCCCTTTTCTTGTTCAATGCCTTAATTCCTCTCTAATAACTGCAACATTTTTCCACCTCTCACTATGAATATGATCAAGACAGTCCTTAGCTTTTACAACAAAATACTGTCCTTTCATTGAAATTAACTGAAATCTTGAAATAATTAACTAATTGTATGGTACAGTCAGCATATCTGTGGGCAAAGCATAGCAAAACTGCTTATTTATTCACACCCTAACATTTTAAGAAGTCCATGGACCATCCCTAAAAATGAAAATATACAAGAGCATATTCATGAAAACATACATGGTATACAAGAGCTATTTTCTCTGTATTTTTGAAAAGGTGTCATCATGCCCTGGACAAAGATTTCCCTGGTTTCTTCACTTCCCTTTTCAGAAGTTTTTAATGTGGCATCCAGTCACCAGAAAGAAGAGGTATACATTTATGCTCATCTATACTTCTATTATAATTTTGACCATCATCAAAAGTACAACAGAGGTAATTATTCTGGGTAAACTGAAAATTCAGAAAAATGGCTAATTATGTGCACATAGATTAAATGTAGAGTGGCTGTGCATATATTTGTCTAAAACCTGTGGCAGATGCCTTGGGTCAATATTGACTTAGGGATTCCTAATGTATTTTTACAACATCTAATTCTGAGAGCAAAGTGTGTGCTGCAGAGAACATTTGGTATCACAGTAATTAATCTGATTTCTTTGCAAAGAAACAGATCACAAGTTCACTGGTAAACATTTAAACAGCTTACAGCAAACACATTCTACATGTCATATAATTTATTATCAAGTACTCCAGACTCCTAACTAATTAAAATAAAGAGCTAGTCCACTTTTCTTGCATGGACCCTGATACTTATTCTGCTTTCTGGGTATCAGAATGTGAACCACTTTAATGCATAACTTGCACCCAGATCTAAAAGCAATGAGAATTAAATAAAATATAAGAAAATTTATTCTGTCTGAAAGTGAAAATGGCAGGCTTTAGGTTCAAGACAAACACAAAGGTTTCTAGAGACAAATAGGAGGTTTTATTACTAAAGCACTTACTGTATTTAAAAACATCATCTTCAACATGACTACTTTTTCTCTAATTATTGATAGATTTTGTCTTGCTAAACAAATGATACCGATAATAAAGGGCTGCAAGAGAAGCCTTTCTTACTCCTGAGATGTGAAAATAGATTAGAGCACAGTCATAAGTAAACATGCTTACTACACCACACCTGTTAGAATGCCATTGTTTTAACAACAGGACCTTTGGAAGACTCTTTCGAAGAATAAACTTATTTTATATTCAAATTTCAAAAAAGCTTGGTGAAAATCAAAACAAACATTCAAACCTCCAAACAAGAAACTCAAGTGGATTTCAGACATAACTTCTTTAACCTACACTAAAGAAGTTAATTAACACTTTCCATTCCTCAAAAAAGACATATAACTCCAGTTCTGCCTACTGTCTAATACTGTTGCTCAACTGGGATTAAGTTCTTCTTTCCAAGTTTTGTGGGTTTTTTTTCCATCTTCTAGTCTGGTCTAATTTCCCACAGGAGTCAGTACAGCACTGCAACAAACACATGAATTTACAGTATCAGAATTATAAAATACAGTGTTTTAGGACTCTGTTACCCCTGCTGGCAAAGCCTGCTTGTCTAGATGCACGTCACAAAAGGTTTTTTCTAGTCACAAATTCCCTCCTGTGAACAACACCTATGAAACAAACACAAGATGGTAAAGATACGTCTGTCCCTGAATTTTGCCAGTACAGCATGTTATAACCACTAGCTGCCATATCTGTGTCTGTAAACTGCAGTGCAGACCTGGTCTTTGTGTTCTTCGGTATTGATAATCTCCTTTGGCTGTGTGCTATTCATCAGTGTGAAGGCTGATGTCTGGCATTAGCTTTTGAATAATTTTCATCAAGACATGCATTTGCTTTCCAGAAATAGATGTGAGATTCCCTATGTGATGAGTTATGGGTGACTATGCATGAAGTCACTGAGATGATGCCACACTAGCAAATGTGTCTTTGATGACATTATGCATCTAACAAGAGATCTGCACACCAAACCAGTAGTCCAGATGTTCTGTGTTTTGTCTGAAAGCACAGTTTAAAATTAACAGTATCCCTTATTGTAATTCCTAATTTAGTAATGTAAGAGGACAATTTGCAAAAGACCAGAGTCTCCAAACTTTTGTTTGTTCAAGAATCCTGAAATATTTCTGACTGTATCTGCCTCATGGGACACAATTAGGAAATCCCTGTCTTTTAAAGGAAGTAAAGCAATACCATGTATTTGTTGTCAAACCCATCCCTCAAATACACATCCCTGTGAAGATCCACCCCTGAGGTAATTTCATTCCATGAATATCACAGTCATTTTAATATCCTTACCTGAACTGTTCGTCCTGCATTAATGTGCTCTTCGTGCAATCTGTCCCAGAGCCTGCATCTTTGATACTAAAATAAAGGAAAAATACTCCATATAATTGCTATTTTTACCAACGAGCTATGCAGAAAAAAGGAACTTCCAGTAAATAATCACTTTAATTTTTCAAAATTGACAGTAAAGAAGCTGAGTCATAGGCATTTCCACTGCAAAATTTAGACAGGTAAATGGCAATGTACTTTTAAATAATTTTGTACAACATATTTTACTGAACTGCAGATAACCAGCGTTTCAGCATCAGTTTTTAAAAACAAAGAGATACTGCAGCATCCTGACACTGCTGTGGCATAAATCACTTGGTGGTCAGTAAAATGAAGGGCAGCAGGAGGAAAAAGGGATGGAACAGGGGATAAGCAGTACTGCTCACATAGGACAAGTTATCTGGTATTATTTACAAAGAAAATTGCATTTAAACTTTTACCTACATTTACACCTACCATTTCTATATAGTTACAAACACAGTTACAAGAACCATCAGGGCAGATTTGGCACCCGCATGAGGCTCCACTAACTTCAGTAGGGAACTAACCATGCAACACTTTCCACGGGACAGAGACCAGAGTAATTATTCCGCTAACAAAGAGCAAGTTTTGCAAATGAACTGCATATCATCACGTATAAACCTTTTCATCATTAAAATAAATCAATCCCTGCTATTGGCAGTTGACATAAACAACATAGAGACATTATCATGAAGAGTAGTAAAATAATACCATTAGAAGCTAAGATTCCTGGAATAGGTGCTGAAACCACCAAAGAATACATTTACAATACTAGACAATATTAGAACATTATTTTTAATTGTTTAAATAACAAGACAAAGTATTTACCATGATTTGTGGGGTATTTTTAGGTGAAGCTTAATTCCTCAATTTCTTGATATGCTTTGTTACCAATAAAAAATTTAATCTACAGCCTATATCTTTCCTTAATTCTTTTCATAATTTTAGAGGCCACAGCAATAAAGATCACAAGTTACTCATCTTCCTAAAATACAATGAGAAATCTGAAGGTATTTCTTATTTTCAAAGAAGGTCCTTTCATGTTAGAATTTGGTAGAGCTATGGAAGAGAAAACATTTAGTGTTCAATTAAGTCAGATTAAAGTGATTTTTCTAGGAAACCAACAACTTCTGCATAAATTATTAACCCATTAAAATTACTGCCATTGTTCTTCAAAATGAAATGGACAAAAAAAAATCTGTATCAACAGTAGATCTTCCAATTCAGTCATCCTTGAAAGAGTACTGAAACAGCAATTTCGGAGGGTGGAACAGCAGGTATTTGGGGAAAAACTACCTTTTCAATTTTAACTGACTGTATGTACTGTGTCTGTCTGAGCTGGAGTCAGTACCCCCCCAGCACCCTCCCAGTGCTGAGTGTTGCCCTGGCAGCCAGCAGGGGGTGTGTAACACAGCTTGGGAGGGGGCGGAGCCAGGACAGCTGACCCGGATTGGCTGTTTCAGACCATGTGACCTCAGCTCAGCCATAAAAGCCAAGGGCAGGCAGAAGGAAGGGGGCATTGGTTACTGTGGGTGAGCAGCTGCTGCACACACTGAAGCTCTGCTTTCCTGGGAAGTGGCCGGACATCGCTTACTGAGGGGAAGCAGAGAATAACATCTTTGTTTACCTTTTGTTCCTGTGCATGGCCTTGGCCTTTGCTTTAATTAAACTGCTTTTATCTTGACACACGAGTTTTTCATCTTATTCTCCCCCTTTATGTGGCTGAAGGGGGAGTGATAGAAGGGTCTGGTGGGCACCTGGCATCCAGCCAAGGTGAACCCCCCACACTGTAATATATTGTCCACATACCAAACAATAAAAAAAATCCTGGTTTTGAGTTAAGAATAACAAGAAGAATTGCTCAGGAAGCATGTATTGTTCTTTATAAAGTCTACTAGAAACATTCAGCACATTTATCTGCTTTATATACTTAGAAGTTTTATTACTTTTCTTCAAAATTCCTACTAGGGTAGTGATGACCTCAAAGAATCCAATGACTTAATATACCCAGAGCAATGACATTCATGTGGTCAGAGAATTCCTCCCTGTTGACTTCTCATTCTCATCCAACACAAAGTAGGGTGAACTGGGCAACGTTCACTCTGGAGAACTCAAGGATAGCAAACCAGAGAAGCTGTGGATGCCCTATCCCTGGAGGTGTTCAAGGTCAGCTTGGATGGGGCTTTGAGCAAAAGATGGCCCTGTCCATGGCAGGAGGGTTGAACTAGGTAGTCTTTAAATGCCCCTTCCAACCCAAACCACTGTTTGTGTTTTGGGTGTTTTGTTCCATGATTCTGTGGTATTTAATAATAATTTCAGCCTGGAGAAAAGAAGGCTCCCAGGAGACCTTATAGCAGCCTACCAGTACTTAAAGGTGGCCTACAGGAGAGATGGGGAGGCACTCTTTACCAGGGAGTGTAGTGAGAGGAAGAGGGGTAACGGTTATAAGCTGAAAGAGGGTAGATTTAGACTAGACATTTGGAAGAAATTTTTAACGGGGAGGGTGTTGAGGCACTGGAACAGGTTGCTCAGAGAAGTTGTGGATGCCGCATCCCTGGAGGGGTTCAAAGCCAGGCTGGATGAGGCTTTCAGTAACCTGGTCTAGTGGAGGGTGTCCCTGCCCATGGCAGGGGGGTTGGAACTTGATGATCTTTAAGGTCCTTTCCAACCCTAACCGTTCTATGATCCTATAATAATTGTGCTATAGCCATATAGTTTGTATTCCACATCAGAAATACAAAACATAAGGTTACTTTTAGACACTCAATCTCTTTTCCACTTTGTCCCATTCTCTTTTGAGAGGTCTCTTTAGAAAGAAACCTTCATGCTTACGTTTTGGATCTCTTCCACTTCTCCTTGAAAGTATCCAGTGCCCACGGAGAGAACTCAAAGCTTTCCATAATTTCCACATCAATTTTTGTAGCAGGTAGTGCTCATCAACAGTTCTAAAAGCTCCACAATAAATGTCTTATACAAATGTATAAACTCTGATGAAGACTGCAGAAAGACTTAGGTATCTTAATTTCTCATTTTGTGTCAGCTTTTTGTAGCTTTCCACCTCAACAATGGTCCCCAGCCAAAGACAGAAAGTGTTTTACACAGCATCCTTTAACTTTGGCACTGCATAAGGAAACAAAATTAAAACTTAATGCAACAGAGAAAAGGACAGCATGTCTCACAGCACTTTTGTTAAGGTGTATTGCATATCACCAACAAAGTTTAGGGCAGCATGCCAAAATCTCCAGCTTCCTGTAGTACCATGACAATTGCTTTCATCTAACAGTGGCTAACAAAGTTGTAACTCTTTTAGATAAGCATGCATTTTATTCCCTGTTTTGGAGTGAAAGGCCACCCAATTCACAGAATGTGCTTTAGAAAACAAGAACTCTTTGGGGAAAACATGGAAATAAAAAAAAATAAGCATACAGTACTGACTTCTTAAGGATGCAATTTTTAAGTCTTCAGAAACCGTCATGTGGAAAGTTAGACTCTCAAATAGTTGAGAAGCAATGACAATGTATTTATGGTAGCCACTTCCTCTGAAAAGGTGTACTCAAGGTCAAATTTCATTATATATTGATTTTATAGTTTCTTCAAATAGCGATTTAGTAGATTAATTGTTTGGACTATCTCTGGAACCTAAGGTTTAAATCAATATTCATGAAATGAGCTTAGAGATATTGGCTTCATCATAAGTAAATAATGTTGCTGCTCTAAGCAGTTTGACATAATTAGTGATTTTTGCTTAAAAGTAGCCTGTAAAATAAACAGGATGAGATTCTACAAAATTATCCTTTTACCTCTAGGGATGTTTGGTTTACATGGCTGAAAGTTTTACAAAAAGTATTTTAGAAAAAACCATTTAAGCTGCTCATGCTGACAGCTCATAGAAGTACTGTAACACATTCATCATGGCTAAAATGCATGTACGAGATACAAAATGAAAATTATCACGGATGTGTCTCAACCGAACTATTGCTAGTGTTCTGACAAACTAAAACTGCCTGGTGACAGATTTCAAATTCTGATTTGCCATAGTTCTATTCTCACATTCTCATAAATCTATCAGTAGAGTAAATTTTTGAATGTATGTAGTTCTTACAGACAGAAAAGTATTAAAAAAAATAAAAAGAGAAAGAGAAACTTTCAAATTTTAAGAACATTATACTGAGTGTGGACTTTTTAAAGAACATGGCATTTAGGGACTAGTTTTATACTCAGATTTATTGCTTCTCATAAATATTTGTGTCTTATATTTTTTGTCAATACACAGAAGTTCTGAAGTCTTCAGTACTGCTGAATACCTGCTGGTATAGTTACCAATTTATTTAAAGGTTTTATCCATAGTTACTTGTTTCTAATAATTCTGTTAACTACTAATTCAAATATACAATCTGCCAGGATTTATACTGTCTAGGGATGTAGAAATGTTTAATAGTATTCTGAAACCAGAAAGATCAATCTATACTAAACATTGTTACCACTTGTTGCTTTCATAAAAGTGTTGTTCTAGAGGAAGCATGGTTAACACGTCAATTTTAAGAACTATGTTTACAATTATTTAAGGATTGTTCTGATATGCAAATTTTATTATGTTGACTGAACTGATCATTCACACTGATACCATCAAAAACCTGAAAATCTCAAGAAATGTCCAAACCAAATACTTTTAGATTGCATGAGATTTTTACATGCAAAATAGAAAAATCAACTACTCAATAAAGTATCTTGGTATTTCAATGTGGTCAATGAATGCCAGTACAGAAACACTGCTGTCTGTATTGCCTATAATTAAACTTTGGCTAAGCATGAGTTTCTCTGACAATGCTTTGAACAAAGCACTAGATCAGGATTAATATAGACTCATTTTAGCCTGAGTACTAATATTTTCTGCATTTTCTTCTAGACACAGAAAACTATTCTTGCAATGATCTCCCCTTCTATCTGCAAAACAGGAATGCTTGACGCAAATGAGTTGCTGGGCCGATAAAGATTTCAGTTGACCAACACATGGCTAAATTACGTGGAATGTATTTCACCCCTTCCCTGACACCATGGTAACACTATCTGGCAAGATAACTGTTCTTTGTGGGAGAAGCTGGAGAACAGAAAGCTGCCCCTGGCCGCTACAGTATGGTTCTGCAGCAAACTGTCCAGCTCCAAGGCAAAAAAATGCAGAATCAGCTGGCATCTAGGTAACGTAATGAATTACAAAAATATGGAATAACAAAGACTAAACAACATGCTGTGACTGAAAAAAACAGGTCATCTCATTCAGAAGTCATTGCTTCAGGCAAATATTACACTAATACACTTTTCAGTTTGTGGATATTGCAGTTCATATCCTTAATGTGTCCTTATTACACCTTTACCAGGAAAGAGTCAAATTATTATCTCACATCATCAGTTCCAGTAGCCCCAGCTCTTGCTCTGTCCCAGTCTTTCCCGAGTCCCATCATTCCGTCAGTCACCATTTCTGCACTTTCACCTTCCATCTGAGGTACTTCTTCACAAGTTCCCCCCCACCCAGTTCTTTATCCTTTATTTACATGAGCCAGGAAGAGTCTCCTCTTGCACACAAGTACGGGAAAGTAAGAGGATGGAACTGTGGAAACACCAGAAAAATCCCCTCCCTGTTTCGATTCTCAAATTTAGGACCAATCAATTTAGCAACTCCAAGAATGAGCTTTGGTTTCTAAGCTCATGAGTGTGCCCAGTATTGGGTAAATCTTTAGCAATCTTCAGCTGGTGAAGTTTAACCAGCATCTACTGAGTACCTGCAAACTACTTTTTCTTCCCAGAATCATACCTCTTGGCTAGAACATGGCAGACTTTTAGAAGCACAGCAAAATGTACAGTCCAAACAAAGACCACCTCATAAAAAATTTCAAGTTACTGTTCTAACACATCACTCCTTTGAAAAGAAATTATCACTAAGCTATCAATCACTATCATGTAAACTAAACACTTCCTACTAAAATAAATTAATATCACTTGAACAACACATCATTTCCTGACTGTGTTCTCAGAAACAAGTACATGGATTTATTTTCCCACCTTCCCCATCTCCAAACTACTCAAGGCAGAAACCTGGCATGGAAAATTTCATCCAAAAGGTTACCCATTTGGTAAAGTTACAGTAAAGTTATAGCAAAGCTGTGAACAAGTGACAGCAGCAAAATACAAAACACTTTCAGGAATAACATTACGCACACCCTTCAGACCATATCTTCCAAAAAATCAAAATCATGCTCATGTATTGTCTTCCCATTTATTCATTCCTTCCCAAGGTGTTAAAAAATTTAGATAGTTGTCCTACACCATCCAGATTTACATATACACTTGATTTTATATATTGTGAACAAGCCTAGTGAAATTAATATGATGTTATGATATTTCAGAAACTTGTACAGAACTTCGCAGAACTACAGACACTCACTATCCCTGTTTTTCTGTGGTGGTAAGTATCAACTTCTTCTAAAAAAATATGTCTTTTATCAGTTATTTCAAAAATTCCATCACAATGTTGGTATTATAAGCGTGTTTTCTGAGACACTCACTCTCTTCCTTTTTTTTAGTCGTTACCTGTTTTAGTAAATCTCTTACCACCTTCCTCAACAAACCAATTTATCTGCTTCCACAGGCTACAGCTATACTAATAAGCAGCGATTGAAAATGTTTCAAGTCTGAAATCTGGTCATCTGTGCTGTTAAATTGCTAGAACCATCCCTGGCATGGTTTTGGCCATGCCAAACAGCTTTCTCATGTGAAGAATTCCTGAGAACAGTTAAGGAGTTATAAACACAGAACAGAGGCTACTCCCAATTAGCAGTGTGGATGCAGCCACCCTGTTTTGCAGAATATGAGGGCTTAATAATATGGACATAGGCCCTTTCATGCCAGACAAGTGTCCTGGGCATGTTTATTTTACCAGTACAGGCATTGTCATAGTGTACGGAAGAATTTAACTTGACACTAATTTTTCTGGGAATCATATTTAGTTTCATTGTCAAGCCTGAGCTAATGTCAGCAAGAAGCATATAAACATGATGCAATGTTGATACAACTCTTTTCCTATTTACTTAAGTAATTCAATCGCTCTTTCACATCAGTCTAAAAAAATATAGAAAAAAATAGGTATAAACAGCAAGTTACTTAGAATAGTTGCCAGCAAACCACTGTGACTTAAAAATAAGTAAGACTATTAGGCTGCTTTCCTTACAACAACTTTTTAACACAAAAGAGTAGTGTTTCTCACTCTGTAGATTGACTAGTTCCCACTAGTAAAGGCCTCTGTACACAATGAATGACTAGAGAATATAGAAGTTTAATTTTTAGTTAAATTTGAATTAATACATTTAATAATCAACTTTCCATTGAAATCTCTACATAATCTTCCAGCATGACTGCTTCTATACTGCAAAAAGAATTGTGTTAGTAAAAAGTGAATACTAACCTTCTCAATATTTATTTGGTGTTTCCTTAACCTTTCCAAATCTGTTGGAATTGCCACTTTAACGAATTTCTGAATCGCAGGTTCAATTCGACAGAACTTAACTTTTTCATCATCTTCAGACATCCTAAAAGCGCCTTTCAAGTCAATACTTGCCCAGTATACCTTCACCAGGGTAGAAACCCCTAAAAACCAAAGAATTACAGGCTTATAAAAATGCGGTAATTTAGAATCACTTTTTAAAAGAAAGCAAAATAAAGTAAATCAGTCTTTACAATAATCACATCTATTCCAAAACCACATTTGAGCAGTATTAACTACTTAAAATCTGGAAACTCTATTTGCATTTAAATGTATTATTTCCATTTATTTGCAGGCTCTGGGGATAATTTTCCATAGATAAACCTTATCACTAACAAAAAAAAAGCTAAATAATTAAGGCAGATGCAAACACGCTTTGCAGCATAATGATAGATGGAAGCCTTTGAAAAAACCTTCCAATTAGATGCTTTGCTTGATCAGAATTCCAGTTTTGCTAATGTACATTCTGAATCATCTTTAAAACTGTAAAACATGTCCTGAAAAGACACCAAATAAAATCATTTTGGAAATACAGTTCCTAGAATGATTAAAAGGTCCCAAACAAAGATTTGTACTCCAAACTGCATTTGTCCCCTACTGAAAATGACTAAGGCATCACCTAACAAGGAGTTTAAGCAGGTTGCTGAAACATTTGCAGGACCAGTAGGTACGTAAGCAGCCTGAATTCTCTTCCCTGCATATGCATCAAACACAACTTCGACATTTCACTTCTCTAAATGAAAGGTATGTAGAGCTGTATATAACAGCATTTACCTACAGAGCATCGGAGTAATATAAAGGAATTCCATTATGCTGAACGCACACAGGGGGTAAGAAAAAATTACTGAGATAATTTGTAGTTTTAATACCCTATAAACAGAGGTTATTTAAATGAGATTTTCTTTCTGTATACTCCTTTTTTAATAAAAACAAGAAGTTGAGGTTGAATTGCAGACATGTATGAAAAAGTTTTGTCACAAGTGTCAGTAAAAAGACACGTGCTGATTTGGTTATATTAAAGTACCTGTACTACAACAGCAAGTGCTTCAGAAGGCTTTCCCTGATTTTCCTCTTCCAGTAACCAAACTAATTTAAAATATTTAAACTAGCATAATCCTCCTGGTACAGATGAGGCACAGCAGAATGTAACAGGTTAGAAAATTTTCCTATTTTTTACATAGCCAAACAGATTATTAACAGTGAAATTAGACATTTTTTTTCTCACATCTAACTGGTGTGAATGTGGGGAGGGAGAGTGTTGAGGTTTTTCTGAGACCTGTGATTCCTGCCTGCAGAGAGAACTTGAAGGCAGACAGCACTTGATGGCACCAGGTCTGAGTGTTTACCCAGAGCAGACCAAGCTGGAGGAAGCCAATCTTTAAGGTTTCACTAATACACCTTTTCCTCCTTCAGAACCTCAGAAGGAAATTACTTCATCAACTGACTTTGCAGTCACTGCTGCTTTGCAGTCATTGCTCAACCATCCCCACCTCAAATTAGAGAGACCTATTATCAAGCAGTCTTACAAATCCTCTATTAATATTAATAGTTATTTGTCCAAATCTTCAAAGAAACATGCAGTGGGCGGCCTCACATTTTTCAGGATGTAAAAAGAACTTTAATTCGTTTGTGTTGATTTACTTTTTCTACCATTCTAAAAAAAGCACCTTAAATGCAAGATGATAAAAAATACATTGGTTCTTCTATTATACCTTGGTCATTGCAGTGCCTAACACTTCCGAAAGAGCCACTCATATCTCACAGCTGAATGCTGTTTTGAGCCTTGAACAGATTTTTTTTTGCAATGAGCAAAAGACAAAAAGCATCATACTCCAAACTGCAGTACTTCCTCTTGGAACATATATTTAATTTCCTGAGAGCTTTATACACTAATCCATGAGTTTATGATCTAGAATTAAAGAAAAAGATATTCCTTAAAGATATGTAGTAGCCATGCCATGCTTTTCTTTAATACTGACTCATCTTGAAGAAGTGATGACACAAATTCTTCAAACTTATCACACAAGGTAAACTCATGGAAACCCACAGCCCATCCTGTCTGAGCGCAAATACAGCAAAAACTAAGCTAGATCGATCATAATTTTGTCCTTAACCTTTAATGACATCTAGAGATTGATAAGAGTAAAAACTGACAGTTTAGATTACTTATAAACTAGACCATTTACTAATATAGCCCACAATAGAGTTGTCCTTTGCTGCAAACAGCACACTTAGACTCATTCAGTATGTGGTCCACCACAACGCTCAGTTCCTTTTCTGCACGGTTACTCTCCATCAAGTCTTCCTATAGCCTGTTCTAGTCATCAGGCTATTCTATCCCAGATGCAGGGCTTTCTTGTTGCCTTTGCTGGAATATATGAGGTTCACAGAATCACAGAATGGTTTGGGTTGAAAGGGACCTTAAAGATCATCAAGTTCCCAACCCCCCTGCCACAGGCATGGACACCCTCCACTAGCCCAGGCTGCTCAAAGCCTCATCCAGCCTGGCCTTGAACACCTCCAGGGATGGGGCATCCACAGCTTCCCTGGGCAACCTGTTTCAGTGTCTCACCACCCTCACAGTGAAAAATGTCTTCCTAATGTCTAGTCTAAATGTCCCCTCTTTCAGATTAAAACTGTTACCCCTCGTCCTATCACTACACTCCCTGATAAAGAGTGCCTCCCCATCTCTCCTGTAGCCCCCTTCAGGTACAGGCAGGCTGCTATAAGGTCTCCCTGGAGCCTTCTCTTCTCCAAGTTGAACAACTCCAACTCTCTCAGCCTGTCCTCATGGGGAGATGCTCCAGCTCTCTGACCATCTTTGTGGCCCTCCTCTGGGCTCTCTCCAACAGGTCCATGTCTTTCTTATGTTGGGCTCTCATTTCTTGATACTGTCAAGATCCTTCTAGAGTAGCAGCCCTGTCCAGCCTATTAACCACTCTCCTCAGACAAGTAAAAAACACTGCTCTCAACTTCAGGTTTTTAAGAAGATAATTTTGTCTCTGTCCTTGGATCTGAACTGTGGTCAGCACATACACAAACCTGCAGAAGTTCCGAGCCCTCTCTCAGAGAGTGCCATCCAGACAGCACATAGCTGTGTGACAGATCAGCTTCCCTTTATGAATGTTTCTGTACAGGACTGTCACTTAAACAGGGGCTTGAGCATCCTTCCTACAGGCATTTACCAAGTTCCAAGCAAAAAAAGATCTCAAGTTCTCTGAGGCTGGAATACATAGCTCTGATTCTCTAAAATAAATTCAAGTTTGAGCAAAAAAGACCAAAAGAATACCATATAATTAAATTAGTAATTCAAAAAGTTAGATAAAACAATTAGTAATTAACCATCCTTTATTATATTCACTGTGCAAGATATTTTGATAAAAAAAGGCTGTAGTTCCGAGCAGATCTGTGCGCTTGTGGATCATCCAGCAAGACAAACTTGATCCAGACAAGGCAAGGGTGCCTGCCTGCATTTTGAGAAATCAAAGGAGATGACAGGCATTTTGTACTGGTTTTACACGTCCAAGCCAGATGCAGAAGGGCAGAAAATACCTAATGACTAACACAGCTGAACCGGTGGAGTGAGTTTGTAGGGAACAGACACCTGCAATATGTGGCTGGAACACAGTTCCACCTGCAGTCAGAGGCCTAATTCTGATTTTTCTCTATTACTGAACTATGCCTCTGGTCTCACCCCAGCAACCAAGCAGTTACGGAGGCCTGCATGTCCTGGACCTTGCCCCTGAAAAGCCAGGGGTGCATGCAGAGAGCAGAAGCATAAGGAAAGAATAAAGAAAGGTTTTATGTCCTATATCAACACTTCCAGTTGACTGCACTAGCTTCTTTTTCCTGAATTATGTTTATAAAAGCTTGGGGAATGCAAGACTAAACCACTTGTCATGCTGTGCTGTTCCTCTGTTTTATTTTTCTTCCTGGATCCAAGCTGGTGTGACAACTTCTGGTTCGGTTCAGCCCCCTGCCGACAAGTCAACCTGTGCCCCCAGCCCCCGGCACCTGACCCACACCCCCGCGGAGAGCCTCCGGGCCCAGCGGCTCCTGGGAGCACCCACACGGCTGCTGGGGAGGGAAACCGCCCTCACCGAACGGGGGGAAAAGGGCGGGCCGA